GGGCCACGAAACTTGAACCTTGGCCCCCAACTATCCTGAATTTGCCCTTGAAAGGCTGTCATGCTTCCGGCCATGTATGCGGAGAGTTCCGAGCGTTAGCGCTGTGAAGACGAGTGCGGCAGTAGTGAGCGTATGAGCGCGCTCGCGGGAGGGACAAATTCAGAGTCCCTCCTCACACTCCTGCTGTGTATTTCCGTTTTTGTCATAGGATGCTGCTGGCAGATTCACGTTTTGCCTCCCATTGGCTGCTGCAGGCCAGGCCCTTAATCTGCACCATGGGCCCCTGTACCGCCTCCTCACAGCTCAGCAGGCTGCCTAGGTCCAAAGTGTGTGCATGCCATGTGCCACTTCAGGTCTCCTCACACTGCTGCTGTGTTCCATGTGTTTTTGTCATAGAGTTAGCTGGCAGATTACGGGCCTCCCATTGCTGCTGCCGAGCCCCTAATCTGCCATGAAGGGGCCCCCGTAAACCGCCTCCTAACGCTGCTGCCCAGGTCCACAGTGTGTCATGGGTCCCTGTACGGCCTCCCATTGCTCTGTCTCCATCGCCACACTCTGCCATGTGCCACTTTCAGGTGTCCTCACACTGCTGCTCGGTGTGGTTCCATTTTGTCATAGGATGCTGGCAGATTACGGCCTCACATTGCTGCGGCCAGGCCCCTAATCTGCCATGGGCCCCTGTACTGCCTCCTCACGCTGCTGCCAGGTCCACAGTGTGTCATGGGTCCCTGTACGGCCTCCCATTGCTGCTGTCTCTATCGCCACACTCTGCCATGTGCCACTTTCAGGTGTCCTCACACTGCTGCTGGGTTCCATTTTGTCATAGGATGCTGGCAGATTACGGGCCTCACATTGCTGCGGCCAGGCCCCTAATCTGCCATGGGCCCCTGTACTGCCTCCTCACGCTGCTGCCAGGTCCACAGTGTGTCATGGGTCCCTGTACAGCCTCACATTGCTGCGGCCATCGCCCCTAATCTGCCAAGGGCCCCTGTACTGCCTCCTCACGCTGCTGCCAGGTCCACAGTGTGTCATGGGTCCCTGTACGGCCTCACATTGCTGCGGCCAGGCCCCTAATCTGCCATGGGCCCCTGTACTGCCTCCTCACGCTGCTGCCAGGTTCACAGCGTGTCATGGGTCCCTGTACGGCCTCCCATTGCTGCTGTCTCCATCGCCACACACTCTGCCATGTGCCACTTTCAGGTGTCCTCACACTGCTGCTGGGTTCCATTTTGTCATAGGATGCTGGACAGATTACGGGCCTCACATTGCTTCTGCCAGGCCCCTAATCTGCCATGGGCCCCCGTACCGCCTCCTCACGCTGCTGCCAGTTCCACAGTGTGTCATGGGTCCCTGTACGGCCTCCCATTGCTGCTGTCTCCATCGCCACACTCTGCCATGTGCCACTTTCAGGTGTCCTCACACTGCTGCTGGGTTCCATTTTGTCATAGGATGCTGGCAGATTACTGAGGGGCCTCACATTGCTGCGGCCAGGCCCCTAATCTGCCATGGGCCCCTGTACTGCCTCCTCACGCTGCTGCCAGGTCCACAGTGTGTCATGGGTCCCTGTACGGCCTCACATTGCTGCGGCCAGGCCCCTAATCTGCCATGGGCCCCTGTACTGCCTCCTCACGCTGCTGCCAGGTCCACAGTGTGTCATGGGTCCCTGTACGGCCTCACCATTGCTGCGGCCAGGCCCCTAATCTGCCATGGGCCCCTGTACTGCCTCCTGCTGGATGCTGCTGCCAGTCCACAGTGTGTCATGGGTCCCTGTACGGCCTCCCATTGCTGCTGCCAGGCCCCTAATCTGCCATGGGCCCCTGTACCGCCTCCTCATGATGCTGCCAGGTCCACAGTGTGTCATGCCATGTGCCACTTTTCAGGTCTCCTCACACTGCTAGTGTGTTCCATTTTGTCATAGAGTGCTGGCAGATTACGGGGGCCTCCCATTACTTCTGCCAGGCCCCTAATCTGCCATGGGCCCCCGTACCGCCTCCTCATGCTGCTGCCAGGTCCACAGTGTGTCATGGGTCCCTGTACGGCCTCCCATTGCTGCTGTCTCCATCGCTACACTCTGCCATGTGCCACTTTCAGGTGTCCTCACACTGCTGCTGGGTTCCTTTTTGTCATAGGATGCTGGCAGATTACGGGCCTCACATTGCTGCGGCCAGGCCCCTAATCTGCCATGGGCCCCTGTACCGCCTCCTCACGCTGCTGCTGCCAGGTCCACAGTGTGTCATGGGTCCCTGTACCCGCCTCCCATTGCTGCTGTCTCCCATCGCCACACACTCTGCCATGTGCCACTTTCAGCTGTCCTCACACACTGCTGCTGTGTTCCATTTTTTGTCATAGGATGCTGGCAGATTACGGGCCTCCACATTGCTGCGGCCAGGCCCCTAGTCTGCCATGGGCCCCTGTACTGCCTCCTCATGCTGCTGCCCAGGTCCACAGTGTGTCATGGGTCCCTGTACGGCCTCACATTGCTGCGGCCAGGCCCCCTAATCTGCCATGGGCCCCTCACACTGTACTGCCTCCTGGCACGCCATACGCTGCTGCTGCCAGGTCCACAGTGTGTCATGGGTCCCTGTACGGCCTCACATTGCTGCGGCCAGGCCCCTAATCTGCCATGGGCCCCTGTACTGCCTCCTCACACGCTGCTGCCAGGTCCACAGTGTGTCATGGGTCCCCTGTACGGCCTCCCATTGCTGCTGCCAGGCCCCTAATCTGACATGGGCCCCTGTACCGCCTCCTCATGCTGCTGCCAGGTCCACAGAGTGTGTCATGCCATGTGCCACTTTCAGGTCTCCTCACACTGCTAGTGTGTTCCATTTTGTCATAGAGTGCTGGCAGATTACGGGCCTCTCCCATTGCTTCTGCCAGGCCCCTAATCTGCCATGGGCCCCCGTACCACCTCCTCACGCTGCTGCCAGGTCCACAGTGTGTCATGGGTCCCTGTACGGCCTCCCATTGCTGCTGTCTCCATCGCCACACTCTGCCATGTGCCACTTTCAGGTGTCCTCACACTGCTGCTGGGTTCCATTTTGTCATAGGATGCTGGCAGATTACGGGCCTCACATTGCTTCTGCCAGGCCCCTAATCTGCCATGGGCCCCCGTACCGCCTCCTCACGCTGCTGCCAGGTCCACAGTGTGTCATGGGTCCCTGTACGGCCTCCCATTGCTGCTGTCTCCATCGCCACACTCTGCCATGTGCCACTTTCAGGTGTCCTCACACTGCTGCTGGGTTCCATTTTTTGTCATAGGATGCTGGCAGATTACGGGCCTCACATTGCTGCGGCCAGGCCCCTAATCTGCCATGGGCCCCTGTACTCACCGCCTCCTCATGCTGCTGCCAGGTCCACAGTGTGTCATGGGTCCCTGTACGGCCTCCCATTGCTGCTGTCTCCATCGCCACACTCTGCCATGTGCCACTTTCAGGTGTCCTCACACTGCTGCTGGGTTCCATTTTGTCATAGGATGCTGGCAGATTACGGGCCTCACATTGCTGCGGCCAGGCCCCTAATCTGCCATGGGCCCCTGTACCGACTCCTCATGCTGTGACGTTGCAACAAGGTGGAATTCAACCCTACATATGTTAGACCGCCTTTACGAACAGCGAAAGGCCATCACCGATTTCCTGATGTTACAAGCGGATAAAGGTACTCCCCTGTGTAACTTAGATGTCAGCCATTGGCAGCTCATGCGTGACACCTGCCGCTTGCTCAGGCCCTTTGAGGAGGCCACGCTATTTGTGAGTCGGCAGGACTATGGGATGAAACGACGTCATTCCTCTGTTGCACGTCCTGGAACAAATGCTGTTAACAATGGCTGGTCAGGCTGCGGTAGACGTGGCGCACAGATCTCAACGCCACATGACCCCTGTGGGGGCAGGACAGGAAGAAGAAAGAGGAGGAGTAGGAGGACATTATGTGCTCAGGAATTATTGAGTGAAATGGGTGGTTATTCCACTCAGCGGACAGGGAGTGGAGGAGCAGGAGCATCTGGTAGAGGAGGAGAGGAGGAGACAGAGGACCCAGACGCACCGTGACAGTATGCTGTGGAGATGGAGGCAGGGAGTCCCTCGCATTCCTTGGCACAAATGGCCCATAGCATGCTCGGTTGCTTGCGTAGCGACAGCCGAATAATAACCATCAGACAGAGGGATGACTTTTGGCTGTCCACCTTGTTGGACCCTCGCTACCGTTCCAAAAATGGTGGCCTTTTTCACACCTGCTGAGAGGGAGGCCAAAATAAAGTACTATAAAAACCACCTATGTAGTCAGTTGGTCTCTGCCTTTCTGCGCCAACGTCCATCCTCAGACACTGTGGGCCCTGTGCGCTCGCGTTCCGCTGCCATGGCAGCAGGGGAGGGGTGGGGTGGTGGTAGGAGCAGTGCAGCTCCACCAGCAGCGTGGGTCCCTGTACGGCTCTCCCCATTGCTGCTGTCTCCATCGCCACACTCTGCCATGTGCCACTTTCAGGTCTCCTCACACTGCTGGTGGGTTCCATTTTGTCATAGGGTGCTGTATGGCCTCCCATTGCTGCTGCCTCCACCGCCACACTGTGGCTCCACACTCTGGTTTTAGCCCCGTGACTGCCCAAATGAGTGAAGTGTGCGGTGATTCTAAGATCGACGGCACTCATCTGCATGTCATACTGACTGACAGTATTATTTCTCTTCCCCAGCAGACTCCAAGGGCATTTAAATTAAAGGTACAGTGTTCTGCACTAATATAAAGGCTCTCTGAAGCCTAGAAACACCCTTTTATAAGTTAAATTCGTGGCGAATTTATTCGGATCGAATCGAATTTTTTTTCCCGCGAATTCGGCGAATCAGCCGAACCGAATTTTTGATAAATTCGCTCATCTCTAATCCCAACATTCATCCAGTTACAAAGAGACTAAAGATACTGGTGCCATACGAGCACGCGCATGCGTAGTCAGGCCTCTATATTGCATGGTGTGTGAGGGAATGGCTTTACCTTGAAAGTAGCTATTAAGCATCAGTTGGGTACAGTGTTTTCCTATTGGGGTCATGGTGTCGGGGGTTAGAAGGGAGAAGTCTGACACAACAGAGAGTCATTCTTCTGCTCTCCTTCTGCTTGGACATCATGGGGCCAAATGTATGAAGAGGAGTTAAATCCACTTTGAGGTCGCCATTTAAGTGTTTGCCTCTGCTCTTGGGGTTATTCATGGTTGGAATCCCCTGAAAGCAGCCTGAGTGTAAATGTGAGTTATATTGTTTTCCGTCACAGTATTTGTTGTTCTCTTGATTCTCCTAACATATACCTGTTGTTAATGTTTATTACTTCCCATAGAGGTCTACAGTAAAGCTGATCTCTGTGTTTTATTATAAAGTGTGTGCTTTTCATTGGTCCTTGCACGTACACTATTGCCAGGTGTGCCAGTGTGGGCTGAGACAGTTCTTGGGGTTGAGAGGCAGAGTGGCGGAGTGAACAAACTTAAGCAGCCCCTTGGGGGGTACCGCTACATCTGGTTGAGGAGGGCAGCATCTACTACACATTCCTGGTGAAGTCCATGGTCCATTGTATATCATACATCATTTGTGGTCATCTTTGGTAGACCTCTGAGCGCTGAAATGTACAGAGTTTTTCATGTGTGTACATCTTTGTATCTCTTTTTTTTTTATAATTTAAATATTTATTTGTTTTTCATTTTAAAATACATTTCATCATCATGGTATACAAACATATATTATATTTATACATTATAGTATCCAACATTTCTACTTTATTTACTTTATTCCAAATCCCCCCCCCCTTACCCATATCCCATCTTCCTGCTTTTCCTTTCTCTGCATCATTTTATCTCAGCAAGTGGGGTTTTTCTTATTATTTTCTTTAATCTTACCTATCTTTCATATATAACTTAGCTTTTTTCCAATTCTCCCATTTCCTATTATAAATCTCCATCCTATCTTCCTGGGCATGGCACAACCTTTCCATCTTTTTAATCTGCTCAACTCCTTCGATCCAGTCTTCTTCTTTCGGTACCTCTTTTTGCCTCCAGAACCTGGGTATCAGAGCTTTTGCAGCATTAATGTAGCACCATATCCCTGATTTTTTTATATTTATTAACTGATATGTCCATGTTATGCAAAATACACACTTCTGGGTCTAAGCCAATGTCTATTTCTGTTATTTTTCTTATCAAATGGGTTATTGTCTTCCAGAATAACTGAATTTTTGGGCAACCCCACCATATGTGATATGTTATACCTATTTCACCACATCCCCTCCAACACCACGGTGAACTCTCTTCACACATCTTATTTTCAACGTTTGGTGTAATGTGCCATCTTGTCAAACACTTATAGTTCATCTCTACTTCTCTCATAGAAATGTTTTCGTGGGTTAATCTATATATTCTCCTCTGCTTCTCCTCATCTATCACGCTTCCCATATCAGTTTCCCATTTTGTTATATATGTTGGCTTAGTGTTTATATCTAATTCGGTGAGTATTTTATATACCTTAGCAATCCCGTGCTTCCCATCACCTTGTGTACCCAAAACCTTTTCAAACAAGTTCCAATTGTCTCTTGTCCTTAAAGGTTTTGGCAAACTTCCAACAAAACTCCTCAATTAAAAATATCGCCACTTGTCTAATTTAGTGAAAATCTCACCCTCTTTTTTTTTCAATTCCCCAAATGTTCCTATTTTATCCCCCACCAAAATATCTCTTAATTGAACCTCTTCCTTTTTAAACCACCTACCACCTATTTCTTCTCTACCAGGGGGGAAAAACTCCGTGTTTTTTAGTGAAATCAGTATTGAATTGAAAGAACATTTCAAACTTTTGTGTAAATTATCCCAAATTTTTTAAAACATTCAAAGTGTATGTATTTACATTATCATTTAGACCCCTATACTGTGTTGGTATCCATATCACCTTACCCAAATCTGTTCCACTAAGTTCATTCTCTATTCTCACCCAGCTCTTTTTTATAGTTCTGTATCCAGTCTATAGTTCTTGCCAATATTACAGCTTTGTAGTATCTTTTAAAGTCTGGAAGCCCTAAACCACCTCTTTCTTTCCTCCTACTCAGCAACTCATATGACAATCTTGGTTTTTTATTCCTCCATATGTATTTTGTTATCAGTTTCTTAATTACCTTAAAAAAGATCTCTGGGGAGTTTAATTGGTATCATTTGATATCTATACATGATTTTTGGTACTATTATCATTTTTACCAGATTAATACGGCCTATCCATGTCGGAGTTCCCTCCTGCAATATTTTTAACTCCTCTCTAATCTCATTAATCAGTGAAATATAGTTTAATTTATAAAGATGTTTATATGAAGCTGTGAGTTTTACTCCTAAATATTTTATATCTATCTTTCCATTTAAAGGGAAATTCCTTTTGTATTTTTTCTTTTTCATTTTTTAAAAATATTTATATTTAGGATCTCCGTTTTTTGTTGGCTTAATCTTTAAGTTTGACAATTCTCCATATTCCTTTAATAGCTTCATTAGATTTGGAAGTGTTATCCTGGGGTTTCCCACATAGAACAACAAGTCGTCAGCAAAAGCGGCGACTTTATGTTCTGTGTCCCCTATCTGAATTCCCTTGATATCTCTATTCAGCCTTATTGTTGACAGCAGTGGTTCTAATGATTTAACATACAACAATGGGGACAGTGGACATCCCTGTCTTGTTCCGTTTGACATCTCGATGGGTTCTGACCTCTCCCCGTTCACCACAACAACTGCGGAGGGGTATCTGTACAACTTTCCTATCCACTCTCTCATCCTGGGCCCAATTCCCATGACTTCCAACGTATCCATCATAAATCTCCAGTTCACTCTATCAAACGCTTTTTCAGCGTCTATAGAGAGTAGTACCACCGGTTCTTTTCCCTTTTTACTTTTTTGGATCAACATCAATGATCGTAACCCATTATCTCTACCCTCCCTCCCGGGAACAAAGAGCCCACCTGGTCCTGATGTATCCATTCCGGCATTAGCTCGTTCAATCTATTTGCCAAGACCTTTGCATATAGCTTAGTGTCAGTGTTTAATAATGAAATAGGTCTATAGCTCGAGCACTGTGTAGCATCCTTACCCTTTTTTAAATAAGCACCATTTGAGCTTGTAGCGATTCTTTTCTTACTTCCATCTCTCCACCTAATGCATTCATATAATTTCTAAGTTTTGGTACTAAGATTTCACTATATTTTTTATAATATCTCACAGTAATAACCATCTGGTCCTGGACTTTTCCCAGACGCTGTACCTAGAGATGAGCGAATTTATCAAAAATTCGGTTCGGCTGATTCGCCGAATTCGCGGTAAAAAATTTGATTCGATCCGAATAAATTCGCCGCGAATTAACTTATAAAAAGGGGTGTTTCTAGGCTTCAGAGCGCCTTTATATTAGTGCAGAACACTGTACCGTTAATTTAAATGCCCTTGGAGTCTGCTAGGGAAGAGAAATAATACTGTGAGTCAGTATGACATGCAGATGAGTGCCGTCGATCTTAGAATCACCGCACATTCACTCATTTGGGCAGTCACGGGGCCAAAACCAGAGTGTGGGATGCCACAGTGTTGGCGGTGGAGGCAGCAGCAATGGGAGGCCATACAGCACCCTATGACAAAATGGAACCCACCAGCAGTGTGAGGAGACCTGAAAGTGGCACATGGCAGAGTGTGGCGATGGAGACAGCAGCAATGGGAGGCTTGTACAGGGACACACGCTGCTGGTGGAGCTGCCACTGCTACCTACCACCCCACCCCTCCCCTGCTGCCATGGCAGCGGAACGCGAGCGCACAGGGCCCACAGTGTCTGAGGATGGACGTTGGCGCACAAAGGCAGAGACCAACTGATCTACATAGGTGGTTTTTATAGTACGTAATTTGGCCTCCCTCTCAGCAGGTGTGAAAAAGGCCACCATTTTTGAACGGTAGCGAGGGTCCAACAAGGTGGACAGCCAAAAGTCATCCCTCTGTCTGATGGTTATTATTCGGCTGTCGCTACGCAAGCAACCGAGCATGCTATGGGCCATTTGTGCCAAGGAATGCGAGGGACTCCCTGCCTCCATCTCCACAGCATACTGCCACGGTGCGTCTGGGTCCTCTGTCTCCTCCTCCTCCTCTTACAGATGCTCCTGCTCCTCCACTCCTGTCCGCTGAGTGGAAAAACCACCCATTTCACTATAATAATTCCTGAGCACCAATGTCCTCCTCTACCTCTCCTCTTCTTCTTCTTCCTGTCCTGCCCCCACAGGGGTCATGTGGCGTTGAGATCTGTGCGCCACGTCTACCGCTGCCTGACCAGCCATTGTTAACAGCATTTGTTCCAGGACGTGCAACAGAGGAATGACGTCGTTCATCCCATAGTCCTGCCGACTCACGAATAGCGTGGCCTCCTCAAAGGGCCTGAGCAAGCGGCAGGTGTCACGCATGAGCTGCCAATGGCTGACATCTAAGTTACACAGGGGAGTACCTTTATCCGCTTGTAACATCAGTAAATCGGTGATGGCCTTTCGCTGTTCGTAAAGGCGGTCTAACATATGTAGGGTTTGAATTCCACCTTGTTGCAACGTCACAGCATGAGGAGTCGGTACAGGGGCCCATGGCAGATTAGGGGCCTGGCCGCAGCAATGTGAGGCCCGTAATCTGTCCAGCATCCTATGACAAAATGGAACACACTAGCAGTGTGAGGAGACCTGAAAGTGGCACATGGCATGACACACTGTGGACCTGGCAGCAGCATGAGGAGGGCGGTACGGGGGCCCATGGCAGATTAGGGCCTGGCAGAAGCAATGGGAGGCCCGTAATCTGCCAGCACTCTATGACAAAATGGAACACACTAGCAGTGTGAGGAGACCTGAAAGTGGCACATGGCATGACACACTGTGGACCTGGCAGCAGCATGAGGAGGCGGGTAGGGGGGGCCCATGGCAGATTAGGGGCCTGGCAGAAGCAATGGGAGGCCATACAGGGACCCATGACACACTCTGGACCTGGCAGCAGCGTGAGGAGGCGGTACAGGGGCCAATGGCAGATTAGGGGCCTGACCGCAGCAATGTGAGGCCCGTAATCTGCCAGCATCCTATGACAAAATGGAACCCAGCAGCAGCAGTGTGAGGACACCTGAAAGTGGCACATGGCAGAGTGTGGCGATGGAGACAGCAGCAATGGGAGGCCGTACAGGGACCATGACACACTGTGGACCTGGCAGCAGCTTGAGGAGAGGCGGTACAGGGGCCCATGGCAGATTAGGGGCCTGGCGCAGCAGCAATGTGAGGCCCGTAATCTGCCAGCATCCTATGACAAAATGGAACCCAGCAGCAGTGTGTGAGGACACCTGAAAGTGGCACATGGCAGAGTGTGGCGATGGAGACAGCAGCAATGGGAGGCCGTACAGGGACCCATGACACACTGTGGACCCTGGCAGCAGCATGAGGAGGCGGTACGGGGGCCCATGGCAGATTAGGGGCCTGGCAGCAGCAATGGGAGGCCCGTAATCTGCCAGCACCTATGACAAAATGGAACACACAGCAGTGTGAGGAGACCTGAAAGTGGCACATGGCATGACACACTGTGGACCTGGCAGCAGCATGAGGAGGCGGTACAGGGGCCCATGGCAGATTAGGGGCCTGGCCGCAGCAATGTAAGGCCCGTAATCTGCCAGCATCCTTATGACAAAATGGAACCCAGCAGCAGTGTGAGGACACCTGAAAGTGGCACATGGCAGAGTGTGGCGATGGAGACAGCAGCAATGGGAGGCCGTACAGGGACCCATGACACACTGTGGACCTGGCAGCAGCGTGAGGAGGCGGTACAGGGGCCCATGGCAGATTAGGGGGCCTGGCCGCAGCAATGTGAGGCCCGTAATCTGCCAGCATCCTATGACAAAATGGAACCCCAGCAGCAGTGTGAGGACACCTGAAAGTGGCACATGGCAGAGTGTGGCGATGGAGACAGCAGCAATGGGAGGCCGTACAGGGACCCATGACACACTGTGGACCTGGCAGCAGCATGAGGAGGCGGTACGGGGGCCCATGGCAGATTAGGGGCCTGGCAGCAGCAATGGGAGGCCCGTAATCTGCCAGCATCCCTATGACAAAATGGAACACACAGCAGTGTGAGGAGACCTGAAAGTGGCACATGGCATGACACACTGAGTGGACCTGGCAGCAGCGATGAGGAGGCGGTACGGGGGCCCATGGCAGATTAGGGGCCTGGCAGAAGCAATGGGAGGCCGTACAGGGACCCATGACACACTGTGGACCTGGCAGCAGCGTGAGGAGGCGGTACAGGGGCCCATGGCAGATTAGGGGCCTGGCCAGCAGCAATGTGAGGCCCGTAATCTGCCAGCATCCTATGACAAAATGGAACCCAGCAGCAGTGTGAGGAGACCTGAAAGTGGCACATGGCAGAGTGTGGCGATGGAGACAGCAGCAATGGGAGGCCGTACAGGGACCCATGACACACTGTGGACCTGGCAGCAGCGTGAGGAGGAGGCGGTACAGGGGCCCATGGCAGATTAGGGGCCTGGCCGCAGCAATGTGAGGCCCGTAATCTGCCAGCATCCTATGACAAAATGGAAACCAGCAGCAGTGTGAGGACACCTGAAAGTGGCACATGGCAGAGTGTGGCGATGGAGACAGCAGCAATGGGAGGCGGTACAGGGACCCATGACAGACACTGTGGACCTGGCAGCAGCGTGAGGAGGCGGTACAGGGGCCCATGGCAGATTAGGGGCCTGGCCGCAGCAATGTGAGGCCCGTAATCTGCCAGCATCCTATGACAAAATGGAACCCAGCAGCAGTGTGAGGACACCTGAAAGTGGCACATGGCAGAGTGTGGCGATGGAGATAGCAGCAATGGGAGGCCGTACAGGGACCCATGACACACTGTGGACCTGGCAGCAGCAGCATGAGGAGGCGGTACGGGGGCCCATGGCAGATTAGGGGCCTGGCAGCAGCAATGGGAGGCCTGTAATCTGCCAGCATTCTATGACAAAATGGAACACACTAGCAGTGTGAGGAGACCTGAAAGTGGCACATGGCATGACACACTGTGGACCTGGCAGCAGCATGAGGAGGCGGTACGGGGGCCCATGGCAGATTAGGGGCCTGGGCAGAAGCAATGGGAGGCCGTACAGGGACCCATGACACACTGTGGACCTGGCAGCAGCGTGAGGAGGCGGTACAGGGGCCCATGGCAGATTAGGGGCCTGGCCGCAGCAATGTGAGGCCCGTAATCTGCCAGCATCCTATGACAAAATGGAACCCAGCAGCAGTGTGAGGACACCTGAAAGTGGCACATGGCAGAGTGTGGCGATGGAGACAGCAGCAATGGGAGGCCGTACAGGGACCCATGACACACTGTGGACCTGGCAGCAGCATGAGAGAGGCGGTACGAGGGCCCATGGCAGATTAGGGGCCTGGCAGCAGCAATGGGAGGCCCGTAATCTGCCAGCACTCTATGACAAAATGGAACACACAGCAGTGTGAGGAGACCTGAAAGTGGCACATGGCACATGGCAGCAATGACCACACTGTGGACCTGGCAGCAGCATGAGGAGGCGGTACAGGGGCACATGGCAGATTAGGGGCCTGGCCGCAGCAATGTAAGGCCCGTAATCTGCCAGCATCCTATGACAAAATGGAACCCAGCAGCAGTGTGAGGACACCTGAAAGTGGCACATGGCAGAGTGTGGCGATGGAGACAGCAGCAATGGGAGGCCGTACAGGGACATGACACACTGTGGACCTGGCAGCAGCGTGAGGAGGCGGTACAGGGGCCCATGGCAGATTAGGGGCCTGGCCGCAGCAATGTGAGGCCTGTAATCTGCCAGCATCCTATGACAAAATGGAACCCAGCAGCAGTGTGAGGACACCTGAAAGTGGCACATGGCAGAGTGTGGCGATGGAGACAGCAGCAATGGGAGGCTGTACAGGGACCCATGACACCATGTGGACTGTGGACCTGGCAGCAGCATGAGGAGGAGCGGTACGGGGGCCCATGGCAGATTAGGGGCCTGGCAGCAGCAATGGGAGGCCCGTAATCTGCCAGCACTCTATGACAAAATGGAACACACTAGCAGTGTGAGGAGACCTGAAAGTGGCACATGGCATGACACACTGTGAACCTGGCAGCAGCATGAGGAGGCGGTACAGGGGCCCATGGCAGATTAGGGGCCTGGCCGCAGCAATGTGAGGCCCGTAATCTGCCAGCATCCTATGACAAAATGGAACCCAGCAGCAGTGTGAGGACACCTGAAAGTGGCACATGGCAGAGTGTGGCGATGGAGACAGCAGCAATGGGAGGCGGTACAGGCACCCATGACACACTGTGGACCTGGCAGCAGCGTGAGGAGGCGGTACAGGGGCCCATGGCAGATTAGGGGCCTGGCCGCAGCAATGTGAGGCCCGTAATCTGCCAGCATCCTATGACAAAATGGAACCCAGCAGCAGTGTGAGGACACCTGAAAGTGGCACATGGCAGAGTGTGGCGATGGAGACAGCAGCAATGGGGAGGCCGTACAGGGACCCATGACACACTGTGGACCTGGCAGCAGCGTGAGGAGGCGGTACAGGGGCCCATGGCAGATTAGGGGCCTGGCCGCAGCAATGTGAGCCCGTAATCTGCCAGCATCCTATGACAAAATGGAACCCAGCAGCAGTGTGAGGACACCTGAAAGTGGCACATGGCAGAGTGTGGCGATGGAGACAGCAGCAATGGGAGGCCGTACAGGGACCCATGACACACTGTGGACCTGGCAGCAGCGTGAGGAGGCAGTACAGGGGCCCATGGCAGATTAGGGGCCTGGCCGCAGCAATGTGAGGCCGTACAGGGACCCATGACACACTGTGGACCTGGCAGCAGCGTGAGGAGGCAGTACAGGGGCCTATGGCAGATTAGGGGCCTGGCCGCAGCAATGTCAGGCCGTACAGGGACCCATAACACACTGTGGACCTGGGCAGCAGCGTGAGGAGGCAGTACAGGGGGCCCATGGCAGATTAGGGGCCTGGCCGCAGCAATGTCAGGCCGTACAGGGACCCATGACACACTGTGGACCTGGCAGCAGCGTGAGGAGGGCAGTACGGGGGCCCATGGCAGATTAGGGGCCTGGCCGCAGCAATGTGAGGCCCGTAATCTGCCAGCATCCTATGACAAAATGGAACCCAGCAGCAGTGTGAGGACACCTGAAAGTGGCACATGGCAGAGTGTGGCGATGGAGACAGCAGCAATGGGAGGCGGTACAGGGACCCATGACACACTGTGGACCTGGCAGCAGCGTGAGGAGGCGGTACGGGGGCCCATGGCAGATTAGGGGCCTGGCAGAAGCAATGGGAGGCCCGTAATCTGCCAGCACTCTATGACAAAATGGAACACACTAGCAGTGTGAGGAGACCTGAAAGTGGCACATGGCATGACACACTGTGGACCTGGCAGCAGTCGTGAGGAGGCGGTACAGGGGCCCATGGCAGATTAGGGGCCTGGCAGCAGCAATGGGAGGCCCGTAATCTGCCAGCACCCTATGACAAAATGGAACCCTGGGCTGGGGCATGCCGAACCGCCGTATCTTTATCACGGTTTTCCCATGCCACCGAAATGGCGACGCTGCATAACCTGCAGACGCAACGCTGTAGTCCCAACATTGGCCCCCAGTGGGCCACGCTTGACTTTCTGGCCACATAGTCGACATACGGCTACGTTTACTTCCTCGGGCGACTTGACGAAAAATTGCCACACCGCCGAGTAGGAAACTTTGCCCCCGCTACTCCTCACTGGCTGACTGCTACTTCCTCCGTGCACACCGGGCACCACTACTGGCCGTGGTGGTAGGCTGCAGTGGAGCTGGTGCTCTACTCCGTGGCCGTTTGGCTCCACTGACACTGAGCTGCGACCCTGCTGCCTCCTGGGCAACCCACCGACTGTTTTGCTCGCTGCCAAGCTGGCACCCTCTTCTCCTGATGATGCGGAAGCAATAGCCTGATGACGAGGAGGCTGCCAAGTGCGATCAGCCTCATCATCATCAAGTAGGGTCTCCGCCCTCACTACTAGCCCCCTCGGCTGCGTGTGGGTCAGGAGACAGACCTGTCTCTAGACCGGCTAGCGAGCCACTCTCCTCGCCAGTACTTCTTTGCCTGGCTGCTGAAGAGGCGGATGTCTCCCCCCGTTCCTGACCGCCCTCTGTTAGCTCATCCTCACTGTAGAGTGGGGCTGAGCCCACAGCATGCGATACTTCGCTTGGTGAGGGAACACCAAAGGACAGGGGCAGGTAGAGGACACGTGATTTCAGTGGGCTTGCTCCCGGGCCATGCCAACTAACGGTTGTGTCTGAGGTACCCACCGACCGTTGGCTGTAGGTGTCAGAGGTGACATGGGAAGAGGAAGACGACCGAGCCAACCAATCAATGACGGCAGGGTTGTCGGTGGAGACACGACCGCTGGATGACACCGGGAGCACTGGCCTCTGGCTGCGACTAGTGCTGCCTGGACCCCTTCCTCTGCTGCCACGTCTGCTCGCTCCTAAAACATTGCCTCCTCTGCCACTCCTCTGCATGTTGTCTGACATACTCTTTAATTCAACGATTCTGTGTCCCTGAGTAACGATTCTGTGGTCCCTGAGTAACAATTCTGTGGCCCTGAGTAACAATTCTGTGGCCCTGAGTAACAATTCTGTGGCCCTGAGTAACAATTCTGTGGCCCTGAGTAACGTTTTCTGTGGCCCTGAGTAACGTTTCTGTGGCCCTGAGTAACGTTTCTGTGGCCCTGAGTAACAATTCTGTGTCTGTCCCTGAGTAACAATTCTGTGTCTGTCTGTTGGGGTCTGAGTAACAATTCTGTGTCTGTCCCTGAGTAACAATTCTGTGTGGCCCTGAGTAACGATTCTGTGGCCCTGAGTAACGATTCTGTGTCTGTCCCTAAGTAACGATTCTGTGGCCCTGAGTAACAATTCTGTGGCCTGAGTAAGTAACGATTCTGTGTCTGTCCCTGAGTAACAATTCTGTGGCCCTGAGTAACAATTCTGTGGCCCTGAGTAACAATTCTGTGGCCCTGAGTAAACGTTTCTGTGGCCCTGAGTAACAATTCTGTGTCTGTCCCTGAGTAACAATTCTGTGTCTGTCCCTGGAGTAACAATTCTGTGTCTGTCCCTGAGTAACAATTCTGTGGCCCTGAGTAACGATTCTGTGTCCCTGAGTAACGATTCTGTGGCCCTGAGTAACGATTCTGTGTCTGTCCCTGAGTAACGATTCTGTGGCCCTGAGTAACAATTCTGTGGCCCTGAGTAACAATTCTGTGGCCCTGAGTAACAATTCTGTGGCCTGAGTAAGTAACGATTCTGTGTCTGTCCCTGAGTAACAATTCTGTGTCCCCTGAGTAACAATTCTGTGGCCCTGAGTAACAATTCTGTGGCCCTGAGTAACAATTCTGTGGCCCTGAGTAACAATTCTGTGGCCCTGGAGTAACAATTCTGTGTCTGGCCCTGAGTAACGATTCTGTGGCCCTGAGTAACGATTCTGTTCTGTGGCCCTGAGTAACATTTCTGTGGCCGTAGTAACAATTCTGTGGCCCCGAGTAACAATTCTGTGGCCCCGAGTAACAATTCTGTGGCCCTGAGTAACAATTCTGTGTCTATCCCTGGAGTAACAATTCTGTGTCTATCCCTGAGTAACAATTCTGTGTCCCTGAGTAAGTAACGATTCTGTGGCCCTGAGTAACAATTCTTTTGCCCTGAGTAACAATTCTGTGGCCCTGAGTAACAGTTCTGTGGCCCTGAGTAACAGTTCTGTGGCCCTGAGTAACAGTTCTGTGGCCCTGAGTAACAGTTCTATGGCCCTGAGTAACAGTTCTGTGGCCCTGAGTAACAGTTCTGTAGCCCTGAGTAACAATTCAGTGTGCCCTGAGTAACATTCTGTGGCCCTGAGTAACGGTTTCTGTTGCCCTGAGTAACGGTTCTGTGGCCCTGAGTAACGTTCTGTGGCCCCTAAAGTAACGTTTCTGTGTCCCTAACGTTTCTGTGGCCCTAAGTAAAGTTTCTCTGTCCCTAAGTAAACGTTTTTCTGTGGCCCTAAGTAAAAAGTTTTCTCTGTCCCTAAGTAAAGTTTCTCTGTCCCTAAGTAACGTTTCTGTGGCCCTAAGTAACGTTTCTGTGGCCCTAAGTAACGTTTCTGTGGCCCTAAGTAACGTTATTCTTTCTGTGGCCCTAAGTAAAGTTTTTTCTGTCCCTAAGTAACGTTTCTGTGGCCCTAAGTAAAGTTTCTCTGTCCCTAAGTAACGTTTTTCTGTGGCCCTAAGTAACGTTTCTTCTGTGGCCCTAAGTAAAGTTTCTCTGTCCCTAAGTAACGTTTCTGTGGCCCTAAGTAAAGTTTCTCTGTCCCTAAGTAACGTTTCTGTGGCCCTAAGTAAAGTTTCTCTGTCCCTAAGTAACGTTTCTGTGGCCCTAAGTAAAGTTTCTCTGTCCCTAAGTAAACGTTTCTGTGGCCCTAAGTAGCGTTTCTCTGTGTCCTCTCAGTAACGTTTCTGTAGGCCCTAATTAACGTTTCTGTGTCCCTAAACTCTCTCCCTCAATACAGCCAGCAGGTCTGCCTCTCTTGAATGACTGGAGGCAAATGAAGAATTCTAAAATGGCCGCCATTTATAGCTCGACCATTACACAGTGCTGGCTGGCTGGCTGCTGATTGGCTAATGCGATCACATGTCATGAATGAATGCATTATGGGTCAGCGCGCCTTGTCTGCACGCCTTCCCAGGACATCCCGCTCCGTCGCCGCACATGTCGCCGCCATTTTTAGGAAAAAATTTCGATTCGTGCATCCGAAGTATGCTAATTTTCGGATTCGGCGCGAATCGCAATTTTTCTAATATTCGGAGACCGAATTCCACTTCGGATAGTTCGATTCGCTCATCTCTAGCTGTACCCTTCAAAGCTAATTTTATTTCATCTTGTGAGATATCTGTATCAAGGGAGTTCAATTGGACTTCGCTTAATTTTAATAAACCCAGCCATCTCTAGATATTTCTTTCTCTTTTGATTTTTCACATTTTCTATATTTTCTGATTCCCCGCAGGGGATTTATATTATATAGATCTCTATAATATACCATAAAAACTTTGGTGATTTCTCTATTTGAGTGGTTCAGTTTCCCCTTAACATCTTTTATTTTTTCTATATAATTTCTATTTTTCTTTTTTCCTCAGGGCCCTCATCAGATATTTTCCCCGGTCTTTCTCCCATCTATATCTCTCACTCAAAACTCTATTATATATGTTAGAAGCTTTCCTTAACCTAATACCTAATATCTTCTTTATTAACAGTACTAACATAAGTATGGATGAGTTGGATCTTAATAGAAATATAATTGAGTTTATTATATTTATATTTGTTCTAGATTGGGAAAAGTAAGGAATTAGACTTCATAGTTTGTGAATTTATATATGAACATATTCTTGGGTTTCCTTTACATTCAAGCCACATATGGTAGCAATTGATCTAGCCATCCTCCCCCATCTATGTAAGAGATAAAGTTACACTCAGACTTTGAGAGAAGTAGACTGAAGGTTTGTTATAAATACCTCTGTTGGTGTCAATTATCTTAGTGGGACTACAAGAGTATACCAACCCCCTTTTAGGAAAGGTGGGGGCTGGATTGTTCTTTTCTTTTCAGAACAAAGGTTTGAGTCACTCACTCTATAGCAGCCTTGAGAGACACCACACTCACAATATATACACACATATACATATATACAATCTTATTATCAAGAACTTTAACTATATTTTTT